GGCTTTTGTTTGATAGACTTTACCAGGCTTCCCAAATTTCCCTGATGCATCCGACTCCTTTTCATAAACAGGATTTTGCTTGGTCCATTGTCTGATCGGTTCAGCAAGTATTGCAAAATCTCAGCTCTCCCAGTCTGGGTCATCCCTTACCAAGTCACCCCGTATAGCTGGAAGCTTATCCAATGTCATGGAAACGTTTCCTTGAACATCCTTCAGTTTATTTAGTGTCTCAAGGGCTTGAACACAATAATTCAATTTCTCACTGAATTCTGCTATTTTCTTTGGGTTGGCTCCAGAAATGTGTGGCAAATCCATGATCTCTTTAATATAGGCTTTGACAATCTCCGGAGTTTTGCCATATTGATCTTGCAAAATTGACTTTGCCCGGTTGTATCCCTCCGCAGTAAATGGCAATGACTCTACCCGGCGTTTAACTTTTGGTCCCAGAAACCCACACAGATATGTAAATTTGTTGATAGCGGCTATATTTGACTTGTCCACCGTCTCTGTGAATTGGCCCCAAAATCTTGGCCAATCCATGTATGACCCATCAAATTGCACAATATTAATTTTAGGTAATCTCACTGACATACCTTTCATGCCTTCCCCCGTCTCAGTTTTCGAGGTGTTATGCCCCCCCGGGTTTGCATCCTGAATTTTAGCTTGCATTTGAAGCTTTGTTTCTCCCAATTTCACTTCGAATTTAAGTTGTTCCTCTCGAGCGTAGTTTTCTTCTTCCATCTTTTTGCTGTCGAGCCATTGTCGAAGTCGATTTACTTCGTCTTCAGCTTCACCTATCTTCGCTTCGATTTCCGTATTCCAGTCGCTAATTTCTGCTAGGTCTTCTTTCTTACCGATTTTTTCAGCCTCAACCGTACGTTTGCACGGATCTGTTTCGCTTATTGTTGTTTGGAGTGCCTTTAAATGCCGTTCGATCGTTTCTCGTTTTCCAGCATCAAGTATTTTCCCGGTTCTTTGCGCGGTCAATCTCAACTGAGTGAGTTTTGTATCGAGTTTCGCTTCCTCGTTCCCCATAATAAATTGCTCGCTAGCGTCGAAATAAATCCCAAAATATCACAAATATATCTTCGTCGGTAGGTGCCACGTATTCCGAAATTGTGCCTCCAAATAAGTACGGAACACGAAATGTATTTTATAATTTAACAGCAATAAACTATACTCCCAACTCGCTGTTTTAAAATCCCAAGTCACAGTTACAACATTGTTCACTCCCCCCTGTTTTCTCGCACGTCTTCAGCAATCCCCTACTAACTCTAAATGTCCATTGTTGTCCTTCAAAATACACTAATGTCTAAAGCAAAATAACGTCAATTTCCAACACGACTATATCGAATTATGAAGAAGTTAGAAAGCGTAGTTCAGTCAGCCTGCATGTATACACGTCACACCACTGGGTGGAGCCTGGGTACGAGGTTGCACTGGGTGGATGGATTATAAATAGCCTATTATAATAATAACCCATGGTATTTCATGTAACCGAAAATTTGTATTATTATTTTGTGCAGTTGGTTTTGAAAATAAAAAAGTATTTGTTGCCAATGCCAGGGGGTCTCCTGTGGGGGTTCAGGTCCACTGGGGTATGCACCCCACCTAGTGTTGTCTTGCACCCCCGTAGAGAACTCTAGCACCCCAGCCGAAAAATGTTTGCTTGTCCACACATTTTCTGGTTTTTCTATAGCGATTATAGGAACTTCTACTGTTAGCAAGTGTCGATTTCTTGAATATTGATTTGTGAGCTCACTGTTACTCGAGAATGCTTGAGTTAAATATTAATATCATGGTTGAATGTGTAAACATGTCGAGAATGAGATTGTTATACAGTCACATTTTCAAATATACTGTACTTTAACAAGCAAATTTACTGCACTGTGCTACAGCAACTGTCCAGTCACGCCTCAAACTGAAAATTATTGACAAGGGGCTACCCTCTGGGGGCTACCCTAATTTTATAATATTTTCCTACAATCTCGTACTCAGAGTCATTGCCCAGCACCTAACCTGCAAACGGGTATACAGCATACTCTGGGTACAAGATTGATTTTCCTACTCATTTTTAATCTCTCTCCTTTATCGTATCCCATAAAATATTTCACCTTCCGTTTATAGTTCCTATAATCGTAGTTTCCATAGTTTGTTACATTACTGTTAATATTAATAGCAAAACTTGGTTGATAGGAATGGAAGTGCGTGGAAAATACAAAGGAAATTCAACGTTTCGAGAGAAGGCCCTTCGTCTGGGAGTTAGTAGACAAACTTCTCAACGAAGAACTAACTTCCCGACGAAAAAATTTCGCTCGAAACGTCGAATTTCTCCCTGTATTTTTCAAGTACATCACTATCAGCCATTTTGTTATATAAGAGTTACCATCTAGCGCAAACATGGCTTCCACAATAGTGAAATATAAAACATGAAACACTGATAGGTTTGGCAAAACAAATAGTTGCGAGAAACATGTATCAGTTTCCTCTATTCCAAAGAATCCATCCTATACCATGAGGGTGGGTTAATTTATTTTTTCGTTTATGTTATTGCTTTTATTCTCCAGTATCTGTCGCGAAATCTCGCATATCAATAATTTTTGCTTTTGTGAAGTGGAAACACCACATGAATTCTGTCTGGGCGCCATATTTGATACTCATGTTGTTTGCAAACTGTGTCTCTGAATACTCTCATTTTTATGATCAGAAATTGTGCAAGAACCGAAGTATTATAAAGATTCAATAAAGAAAGACTCAGGAGAACGGTTGGGTGATATTTTTATCAATATTTGACCGTACGAAGAAAAGATCAAAAGCTGAAACCATGTCTAGGAAATGTGAGGTTACAAACGGGGTATTTTCAAAGAAGGGAAATTTGGTGAGACATAAAAGAACACACAGTGAAGACAAACCTTATGAATGTGACGTTTGCAATAAAAGATTTTCTAAGTCAAGCAATTTAACCATTCATAAGAAAACACACACTGGAGACAAACCTTTTGAATGTGATGTTTGTAAAAAAAGATTTTCCCGATCAGACACCTTGGCTTTACATGAAAGAACGCACACTGGAAAGAAACCTTATAAATGTGATGTTTGCAACAAAAGATTTCCTGACCCAAGCACCCTAACTAAACATAAGAGAACACACATTGGAGACAAACCTTATGAATGCGATGTTTGCAACAAAGGATTTTCACACTCAAGTCAGTTAGCGGTTCATAAGAAAACACACACTGGAGACAAACCTTATGAATGTGATGTTTGCAACAAAAGAGTTTCACAGGCGGGCCACTTAGCGGTTCATAAGAGAACACACACTGGAGAGAAACCTTATGAATGCGTTGTTTGCAACAAACTATTTTCACACTCAAGTAACTTAGCATGTCATAAGAGAACACACATTGGAGACAAACCTTATGAATGCGATGTTTGCAACAAACGATTTTCACACTCAAGTCATTTAACGGTTCATAAGAGAACACACACTGGCGAGAAACCTTATGAATGTGATGTTTGCAACAAAAGATTTTCACAATCAAGTCACTTAGCGGTTCATAAGAGAACACACACTGGAGAAAAACCTTATGAATGTGATGTTTGCCAGAAAAGATTTTCGCGCTCAAGCGACTTAACTAGACATAAAAGAACACACACTGGAGACAAACCTTACCAATGTGACGTTTGCAACACAAGATTTTCAGAATCACACAAGTTAACACAACATAAAATATCAGCACACAAGAAAAATGAGAGCTTGGAGTGTGGTATCTGCCAGAAAACATTCACAAAACGACAAAGTCTCAAACGTCACTGGAGATCACACTTAAGAGATGGCTTATTATTGTGCCACACCTGTGGCAAAGAAATTATTCAAAATCAAGGACATGCTAATGAGATACATGAGAGTGATGATGATTTTGTCTGCAACAAATGCAACAAACGGTTCCCAGATATTGAAAGCTTATATCAACACAAGGCCAGAGACCATGGCACGTCCTACCAATGTGATGTCTGTAAGGAATTAGAAGCAAGAGAAGCAACTGGTATTGGTTATATCTGTTGTGTCTGCGATGCCGAGTTTGAAATTGCCACTGAACTTGAAGATCATATGAGTAGGCATGACAATGTGCTGCCCCACTAGCAAGGCAACATAAATTGAAACTATTTTGGGTTTTATTAGGCTGATGCTATATGGGAAAAATCAATATATCGAGATTGAACACAAATATCGACTATATCGAATTATGAAATTAGAAAACGTAGTTTAGTCAGCCTGCATGTATACCATGTCACAAACAGCAAAACACAAGCTGCATGAAACAAAGGGTCATCATTTTCATCACTGTTCTTTAAGTAAATCTAAACAGGGCTTTGAATTGTTGATTTGACATATTTATTGTCAAGACTTTTCTTCAGTGGGTCTAGACAGTAAATTAGAAGGAGCTGTGATATTTTGATTCCACTTTATGGGTCATCACACAGTTATT